GAGAGATGGAAAACTGTGATTTTGAACTGCATCTCTCTTCTCTCTCCCACCCCCAACACGGTGGGCATGTTCTTCCCTCAGGTGACAGGGTCAACAGATCCTGATGTCGATCTTCCCTCACCCCTTCTTCCCTGGCAGGGAGGGGAGTGCAATTTTGGGATCTGCCTCAGGTGCCAAAATGCCATGGGCTGGCCCCGCTCTTCAGCCTAAGTCAAGTGATTTGGCTACCCCAGCAAGTCTCCCACCGCCAAGGCATCTTGCTTTCCTTTCAGGACTTCCTTCTTCATGAATCTTCTGTCTTCCTCTTCTGGCCGTCCACCATGAACACCAAGCACCAAACAACATGGATTGACCTTGACTGACATGCCCGCTGTATACTGAACTTCCAGAGTTAGTTTGTGAAGTGACTGGGCTTTCTTTCTTTCTTTCTTTCTTTCTTTCCTTTTTTTTAATAAATTTTTTATTAAAGTTTCAAAAGTTTTTTATAACAACAAAGACAAAACAAAACAATACAATAAAAATGACAAACAAAAAATATAAAAAAACACATATATTAATTTCTTATAACTTACTTTCTCGACTTCCTCGTACCTCCCCTTTCTGTATTCCAATTTTCTAACTAATTTTTCAGCAAATCCTTCCCTTATTTTCAACTTAATTTTGATCTTACTTTTTCTCTTTAACTTATCCATTACCGCTTATAACCACATATTTTCTAATCCAGCGTCATTTTAACATTCATTAATTTTACAATATTTCTTTAAATAGTCCTTAAATTTTTTCCAATTCTCTTCCGCTGTTTCTCTTCCCTGGTTTCGGATTCTGCTCGTCATCTCTGCCAGGCCCATATAGTCTATCACCTTCATCTGCCATTCTTCCAAGGTGGGTAGATCTTGTGTCTTCCAATACTTTGCTATAAGTATTCTTGCTGCTGTTGTAGCATACATAAAAAAATGTTCTATCCTTCTTTAACACCCCTTGGCCGACAATACCCAAGAGAAAGGCCTCTGGTTTCTTCTTTCTTTCTTTCCTAACCTTATTGTACATACACCTCTCGCCGACTACAGTGTTAGGAAGTATAGAGGACCAAAGCAACAACATGAGGTGAGATAAGAACATCCAGGTTCCTCAGCACCACCACTTCAGATCAGAACACACCCATTTTCATTAACCAAAACATCAGCTTTATTAACAAGCACAAATAACATAGAAAGGTATGTTCCTCCCTGCATTGTAACACCTTTTGCTTCTGGGTGTGCACACAGCCTCCTAATTAAATGTTTAAGAGCAAAAATAAGTTGTGTTTCTTAGCAAGCACAAAGAAATAGAAGTCCATGGAGTAAACAGAGAAATGTTAAGTTTTAAACTTTACTGTTTAGGCTTAGTGTTCATTTTAAAGCACACACAAACACGCAGTTTTGGGCAGACTTTGCATCAAGTGCTGAACCTAAGTTAAGTAAATAAATACAACATGGTTCCTTTCCTTTCTATTTCATTATATGATATTATGGATACAAACATCACACTATGCTTGTAATTATATGTAATAGGTTTCTTAATGGTGCAGGGGGTGGAAAAGCCTGAAGTGCCAACGCAAAAGCTGAATTCCCTCAATGGCACCCATCTAATAGCGCTCCTCTTTTAATTCCTCATATATGCAAGAAACATCTCAAAAGCCAAATGCAAAATATTAGGAGTACTAGGGGTGTATGTGCATGTTTTTAAAAAGTGAACACTATTCTATTCTTTTCTATCTTTCTTTTGACGGCAAATGACTGTTCCCAATATTTTCAAAGCTGCTTTGCTTCTTGACACTTAAGTTTGTTAAATACAAATAGTCCCAAGGCATGGTCTGAAGATGCATTGATGCTGTAGCATTGCTGAAGCTTCACATGCTATGACTGGGTTTGGGAGTCCTGGATAGAACTCCCAGGAGCAGTAGCGCAGTGGTCAGTTTCGAAGTGCAAGGGCTCACAATGTTTGCACCAACAGTCACACCCAAAAGGAGAGCCTGTAGCCATATCCCCCAGGTGAATCCAAAACTGCAGGCAGCTGCATTGACCCATCAAACACCCACATGCTTCCCTAAGATGCAGCAATACATGATGCCCAGTTTATTAGGATGAACCAACAGTCACAGAATAGTAAGCTGCAAGAGTTGGCATATTAGACTTAAGGAGGCCTTCTTTTTAAGGTGGATGGAATATATGCACAAAGAATGAAAAAGACCATTAGTGCAGGAACGAGGCAACACCAAACCATGCTTTAGCACACAAAACTATGGTTTGTCGTAATGTCTAAACCAACACCGTCTGGCAAAATGTGGTTTGCCAGTGGCCAACAAATGAGGATTTGAAATTGGGAGCCTGAAGCTGGTTTGAAAACTAGTTTCATTAAATTGTCATATGATGATACATCTGAACTCATGGTTTGGGATGGTGCTTAACCCTTAGAGGCCACTGTCTGACTTAGCATCCAGAAATTCTCATGGAAGGTATGAGGAGGAAGGAAATTACAGAAAATATACTTTGCCTATAAATCTGGAAATAATAATAATAATAATAATAATAATAATAATAATAATAATAATAATAATTTTATTATTTATACCCCGCCCATCTGGCTGGGCTTCCCCAGCCACTCTGGGCAGCTTCCCAAGAAATATTAAAATATTGTAATACATCAAACATTAAAAGCTTCCCTAAACAGGGCTGCCTTCAGATGTCTTCTAAAAGTCTGGTAGTTGTTGTTCTCTTTGACATCTGGTGGGAGGGCGTTCCACAGGGAGGGTGCCGCTGCTGAGAAGTCCCTCTGCCTTGGTTTAAGAAGCATGGTTTAAGAGTCTAAACTACGGTTAGTGCAACCACAATTTATTTATATCTGAACAAACCCCATGCCATAAGTTCAGCATGCTTCCATTTCACTCAACATAGGAAGTTGCCTTATCTGTCCATCAAACCCAATACTGTCTAATCTGACTGGCAGCAGCTCTGGCAAAGGTACTGCATTTCATCTGCTTCTTGAGCCTACCATCCATGTGGACAGATGAAGGTGCAGTGATAAACTGGGGTCCAGGCTCTACGAGATTGTTTGATCATAGGAGGATCCTCAGCCCAGCTTCTTGCCAGCAAATTAGAAAATTAGTTCTATAACCCTATTACCATATCTACCATCTAGCATTGTTTTCAATATATGAAGGGTACCTCACTCCTTCCATGCGAGTCCATAGTGAAATTAGCTAAGGCAGATAACTTTTAGCAGGTAAAATCAATTCAACGGTGTAAAGTTTAGGTATGTTAAAGTGAAAATAAAACTCACCAACTTTCTTTTTTAAACCCACTATTTCAAAACTCATTTCTTCATTAGCAAAGGTTTATTGCTGAAGCCAAGGAGAGCTCACGCCGTCCGCTCACATGAAGCATCAGCTTGATCAGGTATGAAATGGACGTGATACCAACCCTTGAAGGGAAAGCTCCAAGGGCGATGGCTAATCTTTCAGGAAGTGCAGGAATTATTAAAATAGAGGCAGAACCCACCATGGACCATATGAATCTGTACTTATTAGTCGGTCAAAAATAAAACCCAGCTTTGGGGTGTGTGTTTTTAATGGGCTTTCCCTGTCCGCCTCCCTTTTCCCAGGCCCTACAAATACAATTTTGTAATATCATTACATACTGGGAAGAGCATACACACACGAAAAATCACATTTTGATCCAGCTGCTGGGTAGAGACAAAGGTTAGGAATAGGCAGGCCCTTTCAACAGAAGCCAAAGCTGTCACTATAGCAACAGCAGGAATTATGGATCCATATTCATCTTCCCCTCCCAAAGCTAGTGGAATTATTTCCTAGGCCTTGTGGCCCCTGCAATTCCTGTTGTGCAATAACTGAAACACGTTAGCATAACACAGATCATAGAATCATAGAATCTTATCTAGTCCAAGCCCCTCTAATGCAGGAATCTCAACTAAAGCATCCCTGATGGCCATACAACCTCTACTTAAAAACCTCCAAGGAAGGAAGAGTCCATAACCTCCAGAAGAAGTCCATGGCAGAAGGAGATAGGATCTGCCCATGCGATGCCCACCTGGTGGAAACTCTAGCCCACTTGTCCCTTAAATGTAAAATGTATGATGATCTCTGCCAACAGTTTCTAGACCATCTATGTATTCCAACATGGAAACCAGAGACAGAGGTTATACGCTTTATTACAGGGGAGAGACCAGGAGCTCACCAAACTTGGTGGCTAAGTTCCTCTATTTGATTATTATTATTTTTTGCTACAGGATCCGGCCCTTGCTGGAGACCCACAGAGATGAAATAGATTGCTCGCCTCTTCTTCCCTTTGGCAAATGACTGTACTGTTGAAATGGTGACGAGATCGCACTGGCCTATTTATTCTGAATGTTTGTATGTGATGCCAATAAAGGTTTGATGATGATGATGATGAGTCCATTCTGAACAGCTCTTACTGTCAGAAAGTTCTTCCTGGTGTTTAGTCGGAATCTCCTTTCTTGTAACTTGGAGCCAGTGGTTCGAGCCCAACCCTCCAGAGCCAGGAAACAAGCTTGCTCCATCTTCCATGTGGGAGCCCTTGACATATTTGAAGAAGGCTATCATATCTGCGGATGGCTCAGCCACACTGTACTGACTAAACTAAAGTTTAGTATTAAATGCAAACACAGCCTGTGTCTATTTAAGAGACAGAAATGTTTTAAGACACGATTTGGTTCAACCACAAACCTCCACTATGGAAACACTTAAGTGAAACTGAAATAGTCTACTTTGGTGTGAGTGTATTGGCAATATTCCATTTGTTTCCCTAAATATTAAAAAAAATAAAAATGGGTAGATGCTCCCTTTGGGTTCAACTAATTCATATAGGACAACACAGATCATATAAGGAAATTGGATAGCAATAGTCTCTTCATTTGTGTGTGTGTGTGTGTGTGTGTGTGTGTGTAATGTCAGCTGCAAAACAAGAAAAACAGTTTTTAAAAAGTGATTTTCATAGCAGTTCTTTTAATATTCAAATATTTACACTAGAGGGGAAAGGGTTGATATTCCTTTCATGACACTTATTTGAGAAATGGAGTATTTCCAATTATCAGCCAATATTGAGATAATGAAGCTGAAGAAATGTGAACAGATTTATAACAGTATGTGGTATTTAAGAGCTCTGGGAACTCTGTTAATAACAAGCCGTCCATCATAACTTAACGAGGCAAATAGCCATGGGTCGGCTGAAGACCATTCCACCGCATAGACACTGTCTTCATGTTCTTCGTAGGTAGCTATTATGCTGTCCTGAAGTGGTTCTTTAATCCTAGAATTTAAAAAGAGGAAAAGGGAAAAAAGCAAGTGATTGGAGCAACTCTGAAATATAAAGAGGAGTGTATGAGTGTGTGTGTGTGTTGTAAAGCTCCTCCTCAGGTTTAGGGCGGGAGAAGAAGCTAGAGGAACAAATTTAGCAGAAATAATGTTATGCTCATAACACCTGAGGAGTCGCTGCAGATGTCTTCACATCAATTTTCCAGTGATGCTACACACACACACGGCCACTCTTAACTACAGAATGATGAGCGTACCTACGAGAGCTAAGATGTTAGAATCTGCCTGTCTTGAGAGGCAATGGAGAGCACCTCCAACCACTGTGTTAGCAGCACCGAGGTATAAGGGTCTGGGCTAGACCAGTGGTGGCCAAACTTGGCCCTCCAGCTGTTTTGGGACTACAATGCCCATCATCCCTGACCACTGGTCCTGTTAGCTAGGGATGATGGGAGTTGTAGTCCAAAACAGCTGGAGGGCCACTTTTGGCCACCACTGGGCTAGACGATAAGGAGTGGTGGGAGGCTCCAGCCTCAGAAGAGGAAGGCTCAGAGCCAGGGAAGTGGTGGTAGGACACTGAAGACAGGATAGAGGATTGGGGAGGGGGGCAGAATGGTTGGATGCCGAACAAGCAACAGGCTTGTGTGAGAGAGAGGAAGAGGCAGAAAGCACAGCAGATGTAAGACAGGAAGCTGAGGAAGTGGGGGCTGAGGCTGCAACAGATCACAGGAGCCTGCTGGTCCTACTGTATTCAGCTCCCCTTCCCCCTTGTCTCTAAGGACTCGGAGACTTTTGCATGTAGCAGAACGACGAGTCCAGAGGTTGCGGGGGGGGGCTCTCCCTATTGGAGTTTAAGACTGCAGGGAAAACAGCTGGACAGGGAGGAGACTTAGGGGAAAGTGAGAGGCACAGATGGTCAATTCTGGCAACTGATTTACTGGGGCAACTGACTTGCCCCGTAGGTTTCTCTGTCTGTATTCTATTTCCTTGAATAAAAAATCAACTTTACTGCTCGTCTCTGAGTCTCCATGCTGACCTGCAGCTGAACCAGCCCTGACTTCCCCAGGGCACAAGCCTGGGAGGTGTGTAAGGAGCTAAGAGCTGGCTAACACATTCATTAAGGAAGATCACAGCAAATCAGCTTTTCTTTCTCTCCTTCTCCTCAACCCCCTTCTCTCTCTTTCTGGAAAACGTTGTTTTAAAAAGTTCCCAGGTTGCGTCTCCGAAAGAGCTAAAATACAGGGTATTTTAGTGCTCCTTCCTTCCACAGAAGATGTTCAAAAATGGATGTTGGTACAATAGGTCAATACCAGGTGATGTGAAGTTCACCTGATCTGAACGATTAGTCAAGAGAAAAACTGGAGGTGCTCACTGGCTGCCACACTGGCAAATAACATTGGTACCCTGAAACTAAGGCTAAGGAATGAATATAGGTATTTTCATTACGAGATGCAGAAAATATGATGAAGAGGATATTGGGATGGAACGTCAAGACTAAGACATTCTCATGAAGCTAACAGTGCAAAATATATTAGGAAGTGGATACTCTATTTTCATTTACTTGGGATGTTATGGAAGTGCCCTCTCAAGCAAAAATGTGGAAGACAGAGTACATATGTGGATTTTTAGCACAGAATACCCAGTTACATATTGCACAGAAGGAATGTGCTGCTTATTATATGATTTGCGCCAAGGGAGTGGGCTCCTGCTCTCAGCCTGTGTAGCCCATTGCTCAGCAACATTATTATTTAATAAATTTATATACCGCCCTACACACACAGGTCTCAGGGCAGTTCACAGGATAAAATCAGAATATAAAAACACAGAATGCATAAATTTAAATCAGTTTCTACAACAAAGAGGAGGGATAAAGAGAACCCAAGGCAACCTTGCAGCTAGTTCGCCTCGAGAATAAAAACAACAAATTCCTGAATATGCAGGACTCTTACTTCATCAGGGTGTCAGAGGGGGAGGAGAGGCAGCAGCACTGGGACTGTCCTCCTGCTGGGTAGCAAGGGCAAACTGACTCCTCTGTATTGGAGTCTGCGCTCACATGGTGACTCTCAGCCTATCGTAGAATGGCCTCCTTCTTCTGACCCCTGCTTGATCGCTCATACCTCCTGCTTCTAGCACTTTCCACCTTGTCCCTTCCCCATACTGCTCTCCAGTGTCCCACCACCACCATCCGGGGTCTAAGTCATCTTCTGTGCCATCCGGGGTGGGGGGCGCAGGGCTCTAGGGCAGGGTGTGCCCACCTCATTCAGCCAGCCAGTCCCTGACATAACTCAACATCCTGTTTGTGCTGCTGGAAGGCGTTGGGAGGTACGGCGGCTGCTTAGTCAGCCACAACAGCCAAGTTGCAAATGGAAGGTTAAAACTGAAATCACATCCCTGTTGCTGGACGGCAAAGCTAACTGATGCTTTGCTGTGGTTTCTGATGCTTGGCATCAAGAACCAAATAAAATAATCCGAGTGTAGTAGCTATGCAGCAGAACAAGGAGCAGCATGAATGTTAAGTATGCATGTGAGAGAAAATCAGTTATGCTTTTTTAAAAAAATATATACTTTTTCTTTTCTTTTCCTGGAGGCTACGTCTATTTAGTCTTCTCCCACACACACCATTTCCAGATCTGCTCTTCAGCAGACGCACCTGGCTGACGTGAAAAGTTGGTCACGTCCCCAGACGGCAATGTGCCTCACGCGGTGCTCACCCACTTATCTCAGACTCCATTATCCCAGAGATTTCAGACGTCTCCGAATAAGCAAGGGAGCAAAGGATGGCACACGCCCCTATCAGGGGACATGGCCGACTTTCAGTTAACCAGGAGCTTGGGTTAACCTGGAGTTCGATAAACAGGCAACAAAGGAAGCTGCTGGCTTGCCCCCACTTCCTTCAGGCCACAGGCAATGCACAATTGGATGCACAAATGTTTTGTGTAACAATTAAACAATTAAGTGGTGGAGAGATGTATGCTAAAGAATGATATACCGCCTTAGCAGAGAGATCACGGTTGTGCATTATCTGCTCCACTCGGCTATTTATAGTCCTCTCAAATTGTTCTGTCTTTTGCTGAATCTCCCTTTGGGGATTAAAGTATGCTGGTAGCAGGCAGAATGGAGAAGAAGCCTCTCCCCGCCCCCTTCTTTCTTTCTTTTTTTCAAGTGAAGACCACACAAGACTGCACTTCAGGAAGACACAAAGGGCTTATTTTCTGCCAAATGTTGCCTAAGCTTCAGAAGCTCGCTGCTGATGGAACAGAGTGGCAACCTATGATTTTTCTCTTGGCGGAATGATAATGGCATGCAAATAAGCCTGACGAAAAGTTTATTTAAGAAGCCGCAAAACTGGGACAGGGCAATCAGAGTTTCCCCTTCTGGCACCGAAATTTATGAATAACACATTTAAGGTGTTAAAGCCCTAAACAGCCTCGGCCCAGTATACCTGAAGGAGCGTCTCCAACCCCATCGTTCTGCCTGGACGCTGAGGTCCAGCGCCGAGGACCTTCTGGCGGTTTCCTCATTGCAAGAAGCAAAGCTACAGGGAACCAGGCAGAGGGCCTTCTCGGTAGTGGTGCCCACCCCGTGGAATGCCCTCCCAGCAGATGTCAAAGACATAAACAACTACCTGACATTCAGAAGACATCTGAAGGCAGCCCTGTTCAGGGAAGTTTTTAATGTGTGACATTTTAATGTATTTTTATTCTTTGTTGGAAGCCACCCAGAGTGGCTGAGGAAACCCAGCCAGATGGGCGGGGTACAAATAATAATTATTATTATTATTATTATTATTATTATTATTATTATTATTATTATTATTCAGTAATATGCTACTTGAATGACAAGCCCGAGGAAGCTCTACCCGCCTAGCCAGGAATTGCATCTGGATCCCACCCTCTCTTGGCCCGCAGGCGACCATGGTGGGTGGTGGTAGGTAGGCTCAAGATTTCATACCAACAGTAGACAAAGTTTTATATATATGAGGGGCTATCTAGAGATGGTGGGAGGGTTGCAAGGGGCTACTGGGAGGAAGAGGAAAATGCCCAAAATTACTTCCCTATCATTTCTGCTGACAGAAGTCTTACTCGCTGCTAAGCAAGACCATTAGATACAAACCCACAGCTAATGTTCAGTGGAGGATAAGGCCTTGTCTATTTCTTTCTTTAAAGAAAACAACAACAAAAAACCAACAACAATTAAACCAGTAGTCAAATATTGGAATACATATTTTACCTCACCTTTTCATCCATGAAAATCCTCAATAAGGTCATCTATCATATGTCAACTCAGTTTACCTCTGTAAACTAATCAAAAAACAACACTTCAAAATATTCAGGCTTTATTCATAAGCAGATGCACTGAGACCATAAATGTACACTGCATTCTATACTGTATGTGCCCATATGAGAGATTTATAAAACATTACAATGCTTGCTCACTGCTGGAGGGTAGTTTCTTTAAGAAAAAATACACACACCTTGAAATGAGATAAACTGTGTTTTTCTGATTCTGCCATGCAAGTCATCGTAGAAAAATATATATTTGGAAACCAACATTTATACTGTTCTCTCAATAGGCAAGGATGATTTGACAGTTTCCTGAAGGATATTATATGAGTGCACACAAATAGCATATTAAAATATTCCTCAAGTTAAAATATTTATCATATTTATTTTATAGGAGTTACTCTGCAGTTGTCAGTGTTTGCAACATGAGTTCTGCAATGCTTCAAAGACTGTTTTCAGATTATGACCAGATGCAGACTCCATGGCTGCGCCATTAAAAAACTTTTTGCTCCCTGCTCTTGCTGTTTATCATCTAGCCCAATGAAGAGTCCTGAAGAACTCGGAAGCTTGCACATTGTTTTCTGACATATTGGTTGGCCTATTAAAGTCTTAATATGGATTTTGGAATGAATTGCTGAATTTGCTAAGCACTAGTATCCAGATTTGAACTGAATGAGAATTAATAAACAACAGCGTACAAATGAACAGGGACCTA